GTTATAAACGAAAACTAAACAAACCACCCTCAAAAAAAAAACTTAAAAAAAAAAAAACCTAGTAACTCTGCCAGAGTGTGTCTTTTAGGTCACTTTGCCGGTCCCAAGCCCGGATAAAGGAGTAGGGTTGGTTGTAGAGCTATCAATTTCACCCTTCATAACAATCTTTTGATTACATATGCTGTTATAACATTTAACAATACAGGACAAAACTGATGTGTGTAATGTGGATCTAGACAAAGCATTAAAATCATTAAATGTTGTTAATGTTGAAATCATTTTTGTATTATTCCTCTCTCCTACAGCGTCCGTTACAGTTATTTGCAAATTGCCAATTATGCAAATTAGGCGATGACGTCATTTAGCGACTTCTAGCGACTTTTGGGACAGCCAATAACTACTTCCCTTACTGAGGAGTTGGCAACACTGGGAGCACTACGTCCGCGCACTAACTCCTAAAGACTTTTCTCCCGCTCACGCTGCTTCTATTGACGGAAGTGAGCGGGAGAGAAGAAGCCCCAGATTGAGGGAGATTATCAGTGGTCTTGTATGTCTTCCATTTTCTGATAATTGCTCCCACAGTAGATTTGTTCACACCAAGCTGCTTGCCTATTGTAGATTCACTCTTCCCAGTCTGGTGCAGGTCTAAAATTCTTTTCCTGGTGTCCTTCGACAGCTCTTTGGTCTTGGCCATAGTGGAGTTTGGAGTCTGACTGTTTGAGGCTGTGGACAGGTGTCTTTTATACAGATAACGAGTTCAAACAGGTGCCATTAATACAGGTAACGAGTGGAGGACAGATGAGCTTCTTAAAGAAGAAGTTACAGGTCTGTGAGAGCCAGAGATCTTCCTTGTTTGAAGTGACCAAATACTTATTTTCCACCATAAATTACAAATAAATTCTTTAAAAATCCTACCATGTGAATTCCTGGATTTTTTTTTTTCCACGTTCTGTCTCTCACAGTTGAAGTGTACCTATGATGAAAATTACAGACCTCTGTCATTATTTTAAGTGGGAGAACTTTTGTACAGCACAATTGGTGGCTGACTAAATCCTTTTTTGCCCCACTGTATGTCAGTATGTAAATACGGTGGCCTATTCCTTTAAAGTGAGCTGTGAGCTGCCTGTTCTGCCGGTTCTTTAAGAATCCAGACACTTAAACCAAGCAATTAAAATAGTCAATGGCTGTGTCCAAAACGCTAGGCATCGGGCCGCGTAGGGTGGATATGTAGGCATCGAGGGAAGGCCGCGTAGCCACAGGCGAGGTAGGAGGCGAGACGTGATGTGGATTTGGACAGAAGCTGCCTTCTGCCTTCGTCACGTGACTACACAACACAGTGCAAAGCGGAAGGACACGGCGGCCATGATGGACGGTAAAAAGTTCTAAATACGCTTTAATTAGGACATAAAAGTTAATTCTAATATCATTTGAGGCGAGAAATATCCCCCTTTATTGTCATATCAGAAGTCTGTTTGGAGATAAATTCGAACATTTTCGGACTTTACCTCCAGCCTGAAGCTCCGGTGCTATAAGCTAACAGCCCAGTTAGCTGCAGTGCTGAAGCCCAGAACAGGCTGTCTGAACACGGGTTCAGGTAATGAGAGCTCCCTGGATGTTTACAATCGTATTCTGAAAAAACAGAGGATGCTTTTGTTGTTACACTTTCTCTGTTATAACAATTGTATTGGCAGTAATCATTAGTTTTTACAAAGTTATATTTTATGTAAACAATGCACATATATGCAATAAATGATTATTAGATATGGATTATATATTTGCTATGGCCCTCGTATGTGCATCACTTAAAAGTAATTTTATCAGACCTAAATGTATTAACGTGTGTTTGCTGATGAGAGAGAAACATCCATTTATCTATAATAATAACTGACACATCCATTTATCTATAATAATAATAACCGGAACATCCATGGATCTATAATAATAATAACTGACACATCCATGGAAACATTAACAGACATCTGTAAAATGGAGTTGAACACAGATGTTTGACACTGCTCTTATTCACTTTTATGTCTCTTGAAAAGCTAACAGACCGTTACTAATCACATTTGAGTTTAATGTATTCAATTATAAGTATAAGTATAAGTACTGCTGACAAATATGTAGTTGTGTAAATAATACCTCACTTTGATGACTCTTTACATTTCACACAAACAACAAAATCATAATAAAAAACAACGATTTTTGTTTTCTTTATTTCCAGGTTCTCTGTGAAGTGCTGTCGATGAGACCTGTGTCAGAGGCAGACGCCCAGGACTCTGCTGCTGCTCCTTCTGCTGCTGCTCCTGCTGCTGTTGCTCCTGCTGCTGTTGCTCCTGCTGCTGTTGCTCCTGCTGCTGTTGCTCCTGCTGCTGCTGCTCCTGCTGCTGTTGCTCCTGCTGCTGTTACTCCTCCTGTTGCTCCTTCTGCTGCTGCTGCTGTTACTCCTCCTGTTGCCCCTTCCGCTGCTGCTGTTACTCCTCCTGTTGCTCCCTCTGCTGCAGCTGTTACTCCTCCTGTTGCTCCTTCTGCTGCTGTTACTCCTCCTGTTGCTCCTTCTGCTGCTGCTCCTTCTGCTACATGTCTTCAGAGATGCAGAGCCCACTGTTCTAACTATTCATGACTGCTGATTAAAGGAAAATATTATATACAAGTTTGTTGTAGTTCATAATGTTTTCAGCAGTGAAGCAGGAGGTGATGGAGGTGAAGCAGGAGGTGATGGAGGTGAAGCAGGACGTGAAGCTGGAGAAATTATGACCTTAATTTCACCACAAGTCTCTGAAAAAGAAGAACACAAACATCATGCATTAAAACACAGCCCACATTTACGATTCTTTTTACACTTCATATTCAATTAATACTATTTATTTGGGGCTTTGCAAAAAACTGGTTAAAAATAAAATACAGAAATCCTTACAGTATTTAATATTAGAGATGCAAGCCTCACAGCAGGGGAAACAAAAGAATGATATGATAGAAATATACACAAATAATCAAGTTATGAGCATGGCTAACCACTTTAAACCTGTGTTTGTGGAAGTGGGACTTTGTCCTCTGCAAATGTCTTATTAATGACAAACGAAACCTCTGTATAATGTGTGTTTACTATTTATTAGACTATTGTATGAAAAGGGCTTTATAATTATTCTTGGCCTATTCTATAATTTCATATGTCTAATATATACAGTTTTCCCAGTCTCAGTATGGGATTAAAAACGATATGCACAATCTATTTTATATGAATACAGAAAACATGTGTTAGCATACTATAGCTGCTGTGCTGCAGAGTGATTTTCCATGAAAACGTGACTATTTCCTCAGTGTAGCTTTAATATTTAATAAGTGGGTTTGTTTCTCCCTAAAAGATAAAACACAACATGATTTTTCTTGTTCAAAAACCGAATCTGAATGAACGGGGTCGGCCCGATGTTCCCTGGGTCCGATGTTCCCCGGGTCCGGTGTTCCCCGGGTCCGGTGTTCCCCGGGTCCGGTGTTCCCCGGGTCCGGTGTTCCCCGGGTCCGGTGTTCCCCGGGTCCGGTGTTCCCCGGGTCCGGTGTTCCCCGGGTCCGGTGTTCCCCGGGTCCGGTGTTCGGGGAACACCGGACCCGGGGAACATCGGACCTTCCAAACGCCGGAGGGCCCGGTGTTCCCCGACTGCGGGCCTCGCTCATAGACATGTTATTGCTGCGCGCGGATAATGGAGCAACAAGCGGCTTTCGCTCATAACTAGTCTATTTTGGGTAGGCCTGCAGATTAGTAAGTAGGCCAAATTCGCTTGCAAACTACAAGGGCTAACTGGAATTGGGGTTTCAAAGAATATGGTTCAAACGCACACACGCACGCACACGCACTCACATACACACAAGCTCATTTAATAAATATAGATTGATTGAATGAATGAATTAATTCATATATATTATGCAGCGGTGGCTCTCATGAATGAAGCGTCTGCAGCGTCTTGGACGCAGCCTGGCTCGGGGTAGAAGTGCGCATTGAGGCGCTGTACACTTCAGAGAGCGTTTGCGGTCCAGATTTCACAAAGAAACTCTGGAGCCAAAACTTCTGCACATGTGGCGCGACCTCTCACGGCACTCGCTGCGCACTCTGGACAGGGCAGTGAGACGTTTGAGAGAGCAATACCATCGATGCGTTATTGGGGTGTGTGGCTGTGTGAGGCTTACACAAATCTAATGAAATAACACATTGCTTTAGATGTGAATGAGAAATACAAATAGCCGTGCGTAATTACGCAGCGCAGAGCCTGCCACAGCAATAGATGGGTCACACATCCCTGTTGCGTAAAGTGTATTTATATAGAGCCTTTCACTGTCCAGGATCACAAAGCGCTTCACATTTTAAAAACATACAGATCAAAATAATACACACACAAGTCAGATTTAATAGAGCACTGTTAGACCCTTACCAGTGTTTTCTACAGTAACTTACTGGCAACACTGATGCCAGTAAGTTACTGTAATTCTAGATTACAGTAGCAGAACTGTATTTCATATTTACAGTAGTAAAGAGTTACTGTAAAGCTGGAATGTGGTTTTTTACTGTAAATGACCAGTACACTACTGTAATATCATTTTTTCAATTTTTTAAAAAAATGCACCCAGGACACTCTTAAAAATGAAAAAGATACACGTTTATTGTGTGTACCTTTTTACAACCAAATGAGCGCTTTAGAAATTCAACATAGAACCACAAATGTACATTTCAGGGTGGATCGGTGCTCTGCCAAGTGACATTCTCCCACCACGAATCTGTGAACCAAATTAGAACATAAATTAAAACTCTGAATAGATCCAACATTCACTGAAACCCAGTTGAAAAACAATATAACCTCCAAATTAGAACATAATTTAAAACTGAAGTCTGAATAGATACAACCTTCACCCAGTCGAAAAACAATGTGGCCTACAATTGCATCAAATGCCCTATAAAACTCCCTTTGGTGTTGGAGGGAGAGTTTTCTGGTCAGACAAAAAAATCTCACCTAATCCAAGTTCTTCCATTCAAATTCAGTCAGCTGGCACAGGAAGGAAGACACCCTGCTGTTGACAGTCTCCACATTCCTCTTCACCTCTGCTCCAGTCTTACGACTTGTGCCGATTTTTGCAGAGCACTTCGTTCCCTCCTCTGGATTTATCCTGACAAAGAATCTTTATGAAAAATAAAAATAAATCCTATTCATCAATATACATTACATCTACATGGCTTGTAACAGTATTGAGACTGTGAAATTTAAAGGAATAGGCCACCGTTTTTACATACTGAGATATGTTCTTACCTTAGTTTAGACGAGTTCATATGTACCTGTCTGGTCTTCACGTGTGCCTTCCGTAACGTAAACACAGCACAGACAGCGTTAGCATTTAGCCTCTCTCTTCTCCTCTATAGCTCCAAACGAGGTGAAGATAGAAGCTCCCAAACTCTTCCACGGTTTCCCTATTTAAATATGGTTACGTAAAGTGTTACACTATAAAGTATAATTACACAAAATTAAACAATGTGGCTTTTCTAAGTGGATAAAAAGGGGAACTATATTGTAAGGCGTAATAATACCAGGAGTAATTCGACATCTGCACAGTAAAGTGAAGACATCACTGCGCGGATGCCGAATATTTCTCCTGGTGTTATTACGCCTTACAATATTAGTTCCCCTTTTTATCCGCTTAGAAAATCCACATTGTTTAATTTTGTGTAATTATACTTTATAGTGTAACACTTTACGTAACCATATTTAAATAGGGAAACCGTGGAAGAGTTTGGGAGCTTCTATCTTCACCTCGTTTGGAGCTATAGAGGAGAAGAGAGAGGCTAAATGCTAACGCCGTCTGTGCTGTGTTTACGTGACTGAAGGCACACGTGAAGACCAGACAGGTACAAATGAACTTGTCAAAGCTAAGGTAAGAACATATCTTAGTATGTAAAAACGGTGGCCTATTCCTTTAATATTTTGCCAGAGATGTGTGATAAAAACACTTGCCGTTGAATGAGCTCAAGGGTTGCACATGCAGGCTCCTGGTACTCTATGTTAAAAACATAGAAGCATCCGAAGAATACTGACAACGCATCTGCAAAGCCCAGATGCTCTTCTAAGATGTAGGCAACTCTTCCCTCAAAGCTCACCATCCATTTCATGGCTGAGAGAAATGTGTTCCCTGAAGACAAAAAAACACACATTGCACATAGTCATACTTTAAAAATTCTTCTAAAATCAAGGGGAAGTCTCATCTTACCAAGCAGTATCAGTCTTGGCGTGGCTGGAAGGGTCATCTCTGCTTCAACTGACAGCTTTGTCGCATTTATCTTAAAAACACACACACACAAAAAGGGATTTCAATCATTTTAAAATACAACCTCAGAGGGAAAGGACTGGTGACTAGAGCCAAAGACTACAGTAAATGAAACATTTGATTACATGCATGTCATTTCACTTCACTAGATAAAATGCGCCTACTTACATCTGCCAAAAGAAAGATGGCGTCCTCTTTTTCCAGAAAGAGCATCAGAAGGATGAGAACTGTTGCGATGCCAGTCTGGCTCTGCTGCATGGCTGTTCCGTTGCTCTCAATGTCTCGCAGAAGACGCTGGATGTCCCTATTCTGACTCCGTCTTTGGAAGAAGTTTTTGATCCTCATTCCCTTAGATTGGAGAGCCTCTCCTATTCTATCACAGATGTCAATACCTGTGAGGGTTTTAAAATGGTCACAGAGTCCTCTTTTTGTAAATAGGAAAGGCCAATGCTCTTCAGTCACCTCAATACTAGGAGGAGGACAAGAGTTTAGCATGTGACGCTGATAGATGTACAGTAGGTCCCATTCCGTTTTGTCGCCTTTCACGCGTGAATCACACGTGAGTCTCGTGTGATTCACGCGTCTTTTATTTTCACTGGAGACCTCCTCACACAGGACCCTGAGACATCCCACACAGGACTCTGTGGTAAATCAGACACCTGTGTCCCATAAACAGCAGACCCACAGTCCAGGTCTCTGCACACAGCTGCTGTCTGCTCCAGGGTCCAGGCTCCATCAGGCTCCACTCGTCTCCACTCTCCTCTGTGTCTGAGCTCCAGGATCCCAGCACAGCGGCTGGCTCCTCCCTCCAGCCTGAGCGGCTCTGAGCAACAACAAGAGAGAGAGTGAAGCCCCGCCCCTTACACAAGCCCCGCCCTCACATAACACCCTTACACAATAACAATAATAATGATATTAATAATAATAATAATGACTGAATGAGACACACAGTGTGTGTGTGTGTGTGTGTGTGTGCGAGTGTGTGTCTGTGTCTGTGTGTCTGTGTTTGTGTGTCTGTGTGTGGGTGAGTGTGTCTGTGTGTGTGTGTGTGTATGTGTGTGTGGGTGTGTCTGTGTGTATGTGTGTGTGTGTGTGTCTGTGTGTGTGTGTGTGTGTGTGTGTGTGCAGGGTGTGTGTGTGTGTGTGTGTGTGCAAGTGTGTGTCTGTGTGTGTGTGTTACCTGACGAATTGTGTGTGTGTGTGTGTTACCTGATGAGTTGTGTGTGTCTCCCAGGACCCCTGCACACAGAGTTGTGTTACAAAATGTCGACTGTGGGTCACATGACACAGAGCGACACACAACTGAGGAACACTGAAAAACCAGAGAGACCAGAGAGAGACCAGAGAGAGACCAGAGAGAGACCAGAGAGAGACCAGAGAGAGAGACCAGAGAGAGACCAGAGAGAGACCAGAGAGAGACCAGAAAGAGACCAGAGAGACACCATGAAGAGACCAGAGAGAGAGACCAGAGAGACTAAAGAGAGACCAGGAAGGGACCAGATAGAGACCAGAGAGAGACCAGAGAGAGAGAGACCAGAGAGACTAAAGAGAGACCAGGAAGACAAGGACCAGATAGAGACCAGAGAGAGACCAGAGAGAGAGAGACCAGAGAGACTAAAGAGAGACCAGGAAGGGACCAGATAGAGACCAGAGAGAGACCAGAGAGAGAGAGACCAGAGAGAGACCAGAGAGAGACCAGAGAGAGACCAAAGAGAGACCAGAGAGAGACCAGAGAGAGACCAGAGAGAGACCAAAGAGAGACTAGAGAGAGACCAGAGAGAGACCAGAAAGAGACCAGAGAGACACCATGAAGAGACCAGAGAGAGACCAGAGAGAGACCAGAGAGACTAGAGAGACCAGGAAGGGACCAGAGAGAGACCAGAGAGAGAGCCCAGAGAGAGACCAGAGAGAAACCAGAAAGAGACCAGAGAGAGACCAGAGAGAGACCAGAGAGAGACCAGAGAGAGACCAGAGAGAGACCAGAGAGTGACCAGAGAGAGACCAGAGAGACACCAGAAAGAGACCAGAGAGCGACCAGAGAGAAACCAAGAGAGACCAGAGAGAGACCAGAGAAGAAGACCAGAGAGAAAGACCAGAGACCAGAGAGACACCAAAGAGAGACCAGAGAGAGACCAGAGAGAGACAAAAGAGAGAAACCAGAGAGAGACCAGAGAGAGACCAGAGAGAGAGACCAGAGAGAGACCAGAGAGAGACCAGAGAGAGACCAGAGAGAGACCAGAAAGAAACCAGAGAGAGACCAGAGAGAGACCAGAGAGAGACCAGAGAGAGACCAGAGAGAGACCAGAGAGAAACCAGAGAGAGACCAGGGAGAGACCAGAGAGTGACCAGAGAGAGACCAGAGAGAGACCAGAGAGAGACCAGAGAGAGACCAGAAAGAAACCAGAGAGAGACCAGAGAGAGACCAGAGAGAGACCAGAGAGAGAGAGACCAGAGAGAGAGACCAGAGAGGGACCAGAGAGAGACCAGAGAGAGACCAGAGAGAGACCAGAGAGAGACCAGAGAGAGACCAGAGAGAGACCAGAGAGAGACCAGAGAGACCAGAGAGAGACCAGAGAGAGACTAGAAGACAGACAGAGAGAGACCAGAGAGAGACCAGAGAGAGACCAGAGAGAGACCAGAGAGAGAGACCAGAGAGAGACCAGAGAGACGACTATCCTACACTTCACACATCTTCACTACCCCTCAAGAAGGATCCAGGGTTTTAGACTCGCCATATGGCCAACTCGAGCAGTAAAGGATTGAGGGAGATACAGCAGCCGCCATATAGCGAGTTACGGCTAGGCGAGGCTAAGCTAGTACGGAATCCGGGCCCCGCACAACCAAGACATCCTGAGACCAACATACAACCTCTTCCTAAACCTCAGCTGCAGTAACAGCTTGACTCGGAGTGCTTACACAGTTAGCTTGGTGTACCAATACGTGGATTTGTAATTGTGTTTTGTTAGTGCAAACCAGAGAGCAGAGTGATAGCAGTCCAAGAAACACTCTCACCGGATACAGGAATTTAACCAGTTTTGGCCTTTGGTCCTCTCTCTCCAATAAGAATCTCACGTGGTTTTTATTTGCCTGAACCAACAGGTTATTAACAATAATAAAAACCAGACATGGATCATTGCATTAAAATAAGTTTGCTCCTCTCCAGTTAGTGCTTTCCTGATACCAGTTGAAAGATTTTATGTGTGTTTGAAGGCTAAGGCTCATCTGTTTGAATATGTTTTTTGAAGCTGAGGTGGGATCTAAAATTACACCCAGATATTCATTAACAGTTTTGACCCACTGAAGAAGATGACATTCTGGGATCGCGTCTTGAATTCAGACCGAAACATTTCAATTTGGAGAGACGTGAAACAAGAATGCTTTGAGTATTTTTAATAGAGGTGGTTTGGCCGCCCTAGGCCCCGGTGCGGACTTCAGTCGAAAGGCTCCCTGCGCTGACGCGGCGTAGAATCCCCCGGGAACCTAGGCACTGTGGCGGCAGTTTGGTAGCGGGAAGCAGATTGGAGGCCAGATTGGAGGCAGGGTGAAGAGAGAGGAGGGAGGCGGGTTTGCAAGGCTTCGGGAGGCCGTGAAGTGGGAGTTTCTCCGCTTTAGCGGCTGCCTGGCCGGTACGGTGATTGGAAGGGGGCGTTTGCCTGTGCGATAGCTGGGATGCGAGTCGGCCGCGGAGGGGTAGCTTTTTGCTACGTCTGCTAAATTGAATTCCGCTGGCTGCATTTCAATTTGGAGAAGACGAGGAAAACAAGATGCTTTTGAGTATTTAATGGAGGTGTTTGGCGCCCTAGCCCCGGTGCGGCCTTCAGTCGGAGAGCTCCGCGATGGAGCGCCTAGAATCCCCAAAAAGGCTGTGTGTTGATGAGTTTTGCAGCCTGGTTTGCCAGGGACAGACGTCGTGACCGCTATCGCTATCTTGTTACCGCTATCGCTATGCAGTGACCGCTATCGCTATGCTGGATCGCTATCGCTAATTCTGTGACCGCCTAGCGCTATATGCTGTGACCCGCTATCGCGCTATGCACTGTGACCGCTATCGCTTATATGCTGTAAACCGCTATCGGTTTTTTTGGGGGGGGGGGGGGGGGGGGGGGGGGGGGGGGGGGGTTTCTATGCTGTGACGCTATCCGCTATGCTGAACCGAATCGCTATGCTGTGACCGCTATCGCTATATGCTGTGACCGCTATCCAGCTATGCTGTGACCGCTATCGCTATATGCTGTGACCGCTATCGTATGCTGTGACCGCTATCGCTAGCTGTGACCGCTAATCGCTAGATGCTCGTGACCGCTATTCGCTATGCTGTGACCGCTATCGCTATGCTGTGACCGCTATCGCATATTGCTGTGACAGCTATCGCTATGCTGTGACCGCATCGCTATGCTGTGACCGATATCGCTAATGCTGTGACCGCTATCGCTATCTGCTGTGACCGCTATCGCTATGCTGTGACCGCCATCGCTATGCCTGTGACCGCTATCGCTATGCTGTGGACCGCTATCGCTAGATGCTGTGACCGCTCTCCAGCTATGCTGTGACCGCTATCGCTATGCTGTGACTAATAGGGTAGCTCTACGCTATGCTATGACCGCTATCGCGAGCTGTGACCGCTATCACTATGCTGGGACCGCTATCGCTATGATGTGAACCGCTATCGCTATGCTGTGAACGCTATCACTATGCGGAGGACACGTTTATGCTAACCATTTTTTGCTATGCTGTACCGATAACGCTAACGCTATGACCGATATCACTGACGCTAAGACCGCTATCACTTACGCTAATGACCCGCTATCACTGACGCTATGACCGCTATCACTGACGCTATGACCGCTATCACTGACGTATGACCGCTATCACTATATGCATGGACCGCTATCACTGACGCGTATGACCGCTACACTGACTCTATGACCGCATCATGACCTATGACCGCTAACACTGATCTAATGACCGCTATCACTGATGCTAGTGAACCGCTATCACTATATCTGTTATCTTGAGCGCTGGAACTGAGCGCTCTGCATCACGTCACCAGACGCTGCAGCAGGGTTTATCTTTGCGCGCTGGGACGTGAGCGCTCCGCATCACGATCAACCGGACGCGGCAGCAGGTTATCTTTGGGGCGCCGGACGTGAGCGCTCGCACACGATCAACCGGACGCTGCCAGCAGTTACTTTGCGCGCGGGAACGTGAGCGCTCCATCAACGTTCCGCTCAGACGCTGCGCAGCGGAGAGGTTTGAGAAAAGTGCGTGCCGCCACCAGAACTTATTGCTTCAACTTACTTTGCTTCGTCGTTTTTTTTTTATTGCTTTGCTGGGAGCGTACGAAGAACCAGATAGACTTTGGCAGCCAGGATAGCGGACGCGTCTGAACCTGATTAGGCGGGAGAAAGCCGAAGAGACCAGCGCCCCCAGCTGTTGCAGAGGAAGAGTGGGGGAGGCCCCCCAGCGAGGCCGCGCGCGTGGCAGCGCCTATCTGTAGAGTGGGCTGTGTAGAGCTGGGAGACAAATTGCAGAGAGCAGTAGGGATCTACTGAGCTCTGAACCAGTGCTGTCATGGGAAGGTGTCTGGAGTGAGAATTAGAGGTCCGTTAAAATCTCCTTTTTGCCGCGGGCTAGTGTAACGCTCAGTGACGTAGGGCAGAGAGATGTGTCGAGCGAGCTATTATTATGTTGCAGGCGCCTCTGATCTTTGCAATGTTTGGAAATGAAGGTGAAATGTCCAGGGACATTATGTTGGTGAAATAGAGCGACCTTTGTTTAATGCTTCCACTACGTCAGATATCGCGCATGACAGAGATCCTCTTTCTCTCCACGTGTGATATCCACAGCGTCGCAGGCCACGACACTGGGAATATCTCGGTGTAGGGCCAGAGAGGTTCTCCGCTGGAAGTACGCCACGGCCCCGGCAACCCAATGGTCCCCTGGAAAAAACCCCCCAAAACCCACGAAGGGGCAGCGTCCGTGTAGAAGCCGGAGACCTGTAGGGCAGAGACATTCGGAGAGGCCCTTGATGTTTGCAGCGCCCTTACGGCGTAGAAATCTTGGGTTGGGAGTAGATATTCAGGATAGTAGTATGGTCGGGAAGCCGCGTCTCGGTCCTGCATGAAGGTTGGCGAGCAGTAGTGAGACGCTTAAGCAGAGAGCCATAGAAGGAGAGCAGGAAGAAAATTGCTGCGAGGAGGGCAGACATGTACTTGGAAGATGAGCAGATTCAGCGCCGC